GGAGATATCCAGCAGCTTTCAAGATCTGGCCCATAGTTTCTTGATGAAATCACTAATATGTTTTAAAATACAGGCAGGTGAGAAGGGCAGGCCTAAAGCAGGCAACTAGCTACAGTATTAGCTACGGGCTATATAAAATACTGTTCTAGACTAAAAATATTAAGAGCCACTTATTATACATTTAGCATTTATGCATTTTTACCAATGATTATAAACTGTAAAAATGTACCCTAGTTTTCTAAGATAATCTATGCCCTGAGAAGTTACACTGCACACTAAGTAAAAGCCACAAGGAAGTGTCAGGTTTATAATTAGTGACCACAGTAATATTTTGAAAGCATAAACTGACTACAAGGAATTTTCCTGGAAGCACTGGTTTCCTCTGTTTGACAGCAAAATAATGCTTTGTCAGAGGCAATGGTTGATGAGAGCCTTTACAAATTATGTTTTTTCCCAACTTTAAACACTACTTAATATTTCCTCCATTTGTTTAAACTCTTGAGGGGAAACTAGATGGCTTAACACATAAAGCTCTTGCTTTTCACCTCTGAAATGAGGGTCTAGATCTAGCCTGAGGATCAGAATAAAATAAGCCTGATGATCTCCATTTAAGGACATTATCAGAGCATTTTTTGGGAGGTAGTCGACATTACCCTTACATTATATGAGGCCACCTCCCCATAGTTTTTCGATGTTCACTGGTGGGGGAAAGCAGTTCAGAATGAAACACTCTTTGAATGTAATAGGAAAGACAAGAACCATGTTTTTGAGAAGTAGGCTGATCTTATTTTGCAACTAAACTGCATTTTATGTCCTTCTGAGAATGGCAATTATTCTTCCTCTTTGCATTTGATATAAAACTAAAAGACTTAGTTGTAAGTAAATGTCAAACATGGGAATATGGAAAAGTCACATTTACCTTTCACTCTGTTAATCTCAACAGCTCTGTTGAAGACAGTCTGACAATTGTATTATTTTACATTGGCGTAGAAAAAACCCAAAAAGATGAGTAACACTTTGATCATGTGGAAATAGCACTACAGGCAAGAGCAAAGCCATACACAACCTTTGTTTGGAATTTTGATCATGAAATATTGGTAAACTGATTGTTAAATTCTCTTGTGGTTGCTTAATTATGGGTTTTTTTTAAGTACCTATTTTTAAGACATTTGTTTGTTAAGTCTGGCTATGTAGACAAGCCCCTCCAAGACACTTTGATTTGTTTGTCCAGACTATACAGTACAGTTTAAAAACAATTAAATACTTCAAGCTGAAGAGTAACAAAGTCACTGCTTTACATAAATTACTAATTATACATAATGTAACACTAAAACAAAGTGAAACACTTAAGCAAATTTCAGTTGTAAAATGGAATCCCAACTTTACTATATTAATTCTTCACTATACCTATTTGCTTTTAAACCAGTGCTACATAAGGTAACTAAGCTATTAGCAATAAACTGACAAGTATATTTTCTGCATATTTAAACAATAACAAGATTTTATAAAGAATGCGTAAGCGGTCAACCAAATATTGTAATAAGCAGGCATGGGTATGTTAACACACACGTACATAAAAACATGACCTGTTCCAATGTTAAATTTCTACAAGAGTTCATTGCTGTCACCAGGTTTGGTGCTACTGCAAGTTTTGTTCCAGCAACTACAGCCCATGAGATAAAATATCAAATGCCAACATAACACCAGTCAATGCACATTACAGTAAATAATACATGTTTAGAAATGAGACTGTCCACTTTCACCTGATTGTTTAACTGTGTTCTCACTTCTGAAGTTCCAAGTGACATTCATTCTTCAAAGCCTTCCTTAATTTCTAGTGCAAAGATATTGCTATAAGACTGATTTAGTGCACAATAAAAGTTTTCACCAATGTAAATGATAAATGGTATAGCAAAGGATAGAATTAGCACAAGTACTTAACCATAAAAAGGACTCAAACAGTTTATTGATAGTCAAAGCCCAAATTTATATCCAGAATAAGTATTTGGTGCTGCCTAGTTACAGTCACCTAGCATAACTCATTGACATTAAAAGTTAAAGATATGCTGCCCTCTGACATACTAATTGGCCAATATATGTTACTTAACATTGAGAAGCTGAGCTCAGGAAATGATGCATATATTAAATGCCAATGACCTGACGTCTAAAAAATTTTATTATGCTGTAATTCCCCCTCTCTCCATTAGAATTTATAAGAAATTTTAATTTGACTGATTAGTTGGTCTCAGCTGTAAAAGTTCACATGCAGGACACTGCAAAATTCTCAGTTTTAAAATATATTCCCCCCAAATTACAATAATCAGTTCATATAAAGGTTAAAGGACCCAGACAGCTTGAAAATAATATTTTTAAGAAAATGTATTTTTTTTTCACTATTTTCAAAGTGAGAAAACTGTGCTTAGGTTTCAAATATGGATACTGTTAGTTCACCGTTTAGATTTTCTTCAGCTGGGAAAGTGTAACTTATTATCATCAGCTTCACTTAGATTTAAATCTTTTTTATGGTTGGGTTTTCAGCACCACAAACAAAGGAGGACAATTTTAATGCAGTTGCTTCTACTGGAGATTTAAAAAATCATGAAAATATCTCCATCAGACATTTTTTTGGGGGGTGGAGAAGCAGTATTGAAAAAAAAATCTACAATTTGGGTAACATTTCAGTTGGCAGCACTTCTGTAAAATGATTTTAAAAAACCATACCTCACCTTTATTCTGAGAACTACTGGAATACTTTAAATGCATTGTAATACTACTTGACTATACAAGACCAAATCCTGTCTTCATACAGGCATGCATAATTCACACTGACATCAATGAGAATTGTACACAACTTTGAAGGCAGGGTTTGACCTTAAATGTTTATGACAGAATGATTGTCAAATTCAATATCAGGCTATTTCTACTACATAGCTCTAGGAAGGCTGACTGAGAGTTTAAAAAGTCTAACTGATATTTATTATAATGGATTTTAAGTCAGGTTCCACTGCCATCCTTGAAATTCCTTCTACAGAATCCAGTCACTACAGTACAAGTACAGAGAGTATTGTCTTTCTTCCTCTCTGCCTCAAATGATGGGGTTTTATTTGTCCCACAAGGCACAAATTCTCCTCAGTCTGCTCCCTTCTCCAATACCCTTCCATTGTATCTATAACCCACACAGAGTAAAAGTGGAGAAGACAAAATTAAGATGCTGCCTTAACTCTAAAAGTAAATTCTTTTAGCACAGATAAAACAGTCTCTGACAAACATACAGCCAAATGCCTGCGTACTTTCTGGGTAGGCACTTATCACCTACATGTTCTGAACCCAGGCTTCTACTCAGGTTTCATCCTAGCCTCACCTGCCATCGCACAGAGAACCATCTGACCTGGGGTTAACACTTTACATTTGGACTAGTTTACTCAGCTGAGGCATCAGTTATAGCCCTAACTTCTATTAAGCTCAGGCTGAAACTCAGCTACCATATTTACATGAATCCAAGATGACTTTGACTTTAAGATGACCCCCTGCCAATAATTAGATTTTAGACATGGAAAATTATAAATTTGTTATAATTTTTCCATGTCTAGAATCTAATTGTTGGAGGGTCCCCCACACTGCTGCAGCAGAAAAAATAGCGGGAAGGGGCAGGAAAACAATGGCAGGGGAGGTGGTAGGGAGGATACCAGGGTGGGGACAAGTGCTCCCTCTACCACTTACCTCCCCGCACTTATCTGCCCTAGTATATGTCACCCCACCACCTGTCCTTTCCCAGTGCTTGCCCTCCCCCCTCTGCCTGGGAGCAAGCACTAAAAGAAGAAACCTGTGCACCGTTGCTGCTGTCCCCAGCTGAGCTGGGCTCCCCACAAAGCTGCTCCCTGCTGCAAGAAGCAGGAGCAGCTCTAGAGATAGCCTGCATCAGATAGCCAGAGACAACAGTAGGAGAGTGCAGGTTCCTCCTTCCAGTGACTACGCCTCACCAGTGGAGGACGTGAAGTGGTGGGAGTGGGAGGGGGTAAAAAAGTGGAGCCGGGCATGGAACAAGTGCTGGAAGGAGGAACGTATGAGCCGCTGCTCATGTCCCTGGCAGAGCCAGGTTCCCTGCACAGCTGCTCCTTGCAGCACGATGGAGCAGCAGCTTCACCTGTACCTGGATCAGCTGAGGACATCACTGCTTGCTGCAGCTGCTGGCTGGAGTGGTCCCATACTCAATTCTATGATGAGACTTCATTTCCCCCATGTTGAATGGGAAAATAAACCTCATTTTGGAAAAAAAGCAAATACAGTACTTAACAGTGAAGAAAACAGCAAAATCTTTTGAGTTTTGATGGTCCTCCAAAGCCCCAACCACAATCCCCCGCTTCTGCCCCAAAGCCAAACAAGTTCTTCTAAAATTGATACAACTGACTAGGAAAGAATCCTAGAGTATCTCAGCACCAAGAACCATGAAATAAAACCCCAGACACACACAGACATCCCAAACCCCAGACATACTGCAGAACCGGTGAGAAGGCACTAACACAAATAAGGCTTTGCAATGGAGATGCTCAAACCTATATGTCACTCAACTCACTCATCTGCAAACTACAGACATACAAGGTACAATCTGACACATCTTTACCAAACTCATTTTAGCCACAAAGTGGTTTTGAACTCCAAGGCCTAGAAGTTTAACTCTTCAGAGTTAAAAAAAACCCCAACCCAAAACATACCCAAGTGATAGAGACCCTGTTTTAATACTACTACCTATTTCCTGAATGACCTGAATAACTCTTTAGTTCATTCCGGTCTCAAAATCATCAAATTTAGCCACATCACTAAAAGCAAACATACCAGAGGAAGTCTATTTTCCCTTTGACATGCAAGAATAACTGCTACCCAGACATGACTTAGGACCCCTGGAATCCCACTGCCCATTGCTCCAGTGCCCTTCACACTTCTGAGAGTAACATCTTTTCAAGCAGCACACCTCCATTTCTACTCCTCATTGTACTTTCTCAATGATAAGAACAGGAGCATGAAGCTGATCATTCTGAGGATGGAATTTGTACAGGGAAAACAAGCACAGATCATAGTAAAGGAGCTTTCCCAAATTTCCAAAATTTTTGAACTTTAGGAGTAAAGCAGCCCTGTGGCAAGCTTTCATTTAAACAGGGCAACATTTTTACAATGGGGCTTGCACTAGCATAGTTACAGGAGTCCAACTACACTGGTGCAGATGGTGAGAGGTTCTAAGAAATGCCAATACAGACTATTCATATTTAATTGCACTGATAACCAAAAGGAAATTCAAGGATAAAACTACCTTAGAATTGTATAATCACAATATATACATGAGGTGTTGGGCAGAAGGAGGTCCACTGACTGACACGGAAGACACTGAATTGAAGTCTTGCCTAAGCTAGAAATACAGAAGTACAGGCATGCACACAAATGCAGAAAGGAAGAAATCCTGACTAACTGTCTTCATAGTATAGTTTAACAAATCAGCTAGCACAATTCCTTTTTACTTCCATCACTTAAAATGCTTGTATACTGTGTTTTTATGATGTGTGTGTGATTGCATAGTCTTTGTTGGGCTCTGTAGTGTTAATGCAATACATTCACAAATGTAAATCAAGTGTCATTAACTCTGGCTTTTTGAGGTAAAATAAATAAATAAATAAAAGTATATAATGTTAAAGACAGAAATGTTTCCACGTACAGCTTTAACCTTACTCGCTTGTTGCATGAGAGAAAAACAGTTTGTTTTCCCATCTCTACCTGCATCAGACTTGGCATTGACTTAAGCTTAGATTTTGATAGCGACCTTATGTGATAGAGCTGTCAGGCAAATAAAACAAAAAGTGTAATTCCAGTATAGTAGCAATACATGTTGCCTTTATGAGGAATTAAAAGGGGCACTGGAGGCAGAAACACAGCAGCCTCCTCTTTTACTAGTGGTTACTAATTCAGATGTAAAAACTCACTAAATACAATCTGGGTCCACTGGCTCTGTACGAGTCATTGCCAGCCTTGACTATGTTGGAGAGGAACAACATAGGAACAAGCTAATTTTATGCTGACAGATCTACTAACTTGTTTCCCAGACCCTCCATTTGGATCAGAATCATTTTAAATCTTTTTGTTAAGCCCCTCTGTTCACAGTCCACACTAATACAGAAAAGGTTCATGGGGAACAATGGCATGACATGAAGCTGCCACAAGTAGAAATATAGTCTTAAATCTTTGAAGGAATAAAGAAAAACAAACTATGTTTGCTTAATAAAAAGATATGCCAGTTTTTTAAATAAATAAAATGAAAGATTATTACTCTGCATATGAATTTCAGCACTGACCATAAAAAAGTGAGAAAAACATGGCTAGCTAACACTTGCAACCATGACATGCATTTGTGACTGAAAAGAGAATATTGCACTAAAAGAGGAATCCTGCAGGTCTTAGCTTTTCCTTCACTGACTTGGAAAATTAACTAACCATTTTTTATATGCAGTAGCAAACCTAGCCTGCTCCACATCTCTACAAGTTGATAAAACCTTGTCAATGAACCTGTATTCCATTTCCAGGCCAAGAGAGTCCTGTGTAGGGGCACGTTTTAGTCGTTTGGTTTCTTGGGTATAGCCTTGTTTGTTGGAATCATGCAAACCGTCAACATCCATGGCTTGAGTTACATGACTGACTGCAGTACTGGGGTGGGAATTATTTAGAGTTCCATCGCTGCTGTCTACCGATGTCAACCATATATTTGGAAGAAGAAGTTTGTTGTTTAAATGGTGCTGAAGGTAGAACACATGCCGTCTTCAAACAGGAAGGAGAGAAAAATAAATAAATATTTAAAAAGTCATATGCTTCAAGTCAAGTTGCTGCCATTGCTGAAGACATTAAATGATGTTAGAATTCAGTGAGTACCCCCCAACCAGCCTGACTACAAAAATCATGTTATTTTGTTGGCACGGAAGAAGTTGATTTCCAGTTTTGCAGTGGGTTATGAAGCTTTTCACTTCTCTGTAACGGATCTGAATATTACCATCTGACAGCAGGTATTTCACATATTGTCAGATGAGTGGGTGGTTTTACTTTACTTCTCAGTGATGCAGACACCAGTGCACTAAAGTCACCATCGCAACTGGCATTCTAAATGACAGTTTCAGCAGCGGTGTCAAGCACTAAGAATTCAGACTTTAGGGTGGAAACACTGCACAGAAAACGAAGGGAAATGCAATTAGTGTGGTGAACACTGTACCTGTTCCAAGGCTGTACAGAAGACTTTCATCTACTGGACTGTTAATCTGGAACCTTCACAAAGACCAAAAATCACTCACTAATGCTCACTGCTGTGTGCATATGTAAAGCAGTGATCAGAAACTGTTTTGTGATCTTGTCTACAGATGATATGGCCTATTCAGCTCGCAGCTATAGAGCTGGACTCTTTAGCTCAAGCTGTAGATACTCATATTGTCAGCTCCCTAGGCCCCCAGTTCACACTCTGCAGTCAGCCAAGCTGCAGCCTGTCATATCACCAAGCAGAGATTTGATTCAGACAGGCAACTACTGCACATATACAGTAACATTTTTCCAAATTATTTTTAACATTTTCAGGACAAGATGAAAGTGATCTCTTCAATGAATTGATGGATGACAGTAAATACTTAATGTTTGTTTCCTGCCCCCCAAAATGATTTAATACCCATTAAAAGTGCCAGATTATCATCAATAGCATGTTATTCCCTATCCTACCCTACATACACAATTCAAACCTCATCTGGTCTCATTTTGTACTTGATTTTTTAATGCAGTGGTTCCCAGTCTTTTTAGACTCAAGGAACTCCTGAATAGACTTGAGACACCCCTTGGAAAATGCCAGCTCTTAGTTTTCACTCTTTTTTACCTACAGAAAAACGATGGAGCAGGTTTTTCTGTTGCAAATATCTCAGAAAAGACCACAACTCTGAATTTCTATTTGAAATGATTCACAAGATAAACTGAGAGATGTTTCTAAACGTAACACTACTAATATTGTGCAGCACCCCACAGTATCCATGAAAGAATCTTAAGGCACCCCAGGGTGCCATGGCACCTTGGTTGCGAATCGCTATTTTAATGCAAGGAGTGCCTCCACTCCATCCTTTTCTCCTCCCCTCAGGTAACAAAAGTATTTTATTTATGGAGAAGATAAAAAAAGTGTTGGGCATTTTTTACTAGCAACAAGTTCAGTGTCACATCAGCCATCCCACCTTTTATCCAGTCAGGCCCATACATACAGCTGGCAATTTGGAGGTTTTATGTAATTAATCCATCTTTTGTCCTTCAAATGTTAGGAACAAGAAGACCAATTAGCATCCAAGCTTTATCCTGCTCACACCATTCTCTGGAGAGTCACAGAGTTTGTTTCAACAAGGTATTGAAGGCCCATCAATTTTTTCATTTATTATCTCTAACATATGTGCAGGTCTAAACTAAATGCTCTGCATAAAGCAGAACACGTCTTTTGCTCAGCTGTACCTCTAGCAATGATAACTAGATTTCCCTCTGACCTATGTTTCAAAACAAATCAAGATATCAAACAAACTTTTCTGAGTGTCCTCTTACCTGTGACACCACAATGTTTCATGCCCCGGGTAGGTATCAATAAGATCAGTGCAGAGTTCCAATTCTTCCTCTAAAAGTTGGGAGAGATCTACTCTCTGTTCTTCTGCACATGTGGCTTCTGCTGCTTCATTTTCTTCATCCTTTGGGAGACTGGAGCTTTGTTGGTTTACTAGTTGATTTTGCACCAGTACAGTATTGTCAGCCACAGTTCTGCCAGTCAAGGACTTTATTAAGAACTGGCGGTAATGGAATCCACTGTGGTCCGAAACATGCATGGATACCCAATATTTAGTTGAAGAAAGTTCATTGAGAAGAATCTGAAACAAAAAACAAGAAGCAGTAGAATAATCCATATAAAAATGGATTTTTCCTGTATCAACATTTACTCCTCTTAATAGGTCTCTTAAAGCTTTTGGCCAGTTTTTAGTCACCACTGCTGCACTGATCATTTTAAAGAAAAAAGAGTATGAAATAATCTATTTAAATATTTTTACCAAAACATATGCCTACCTCATTAATACAGATTTTCCACATTAGAACACTTATTCAACACTTTTTATCTTACAACAGATTTAAATGGTATTGTTACATACAAGACAAGTATATATTTGGAGACCAGATTATTGAACCTAAGCATTCTGATATGCTTATTCACGATTTTGCCCTGAGGGATATCTAGGGATTTCTGCACAAAACAGCTTTCATATCTCCCACCTTTTAAAAAGGAAGAGGCATCAGAAGCTTTCCTTCAAGGTTTTAAAGCACCATCTTTAAAGGGATTTGGCACAGAGCTAAAAGCACATGGGGCTTAAAGCAGGACTGAGTAATAACTTGAAAAAAATCCAGAGAATAGTGGAGGAAAAAGAAAAAAAAAATCTACCTGGTTCAGGAGACTGGCAAACAACTAACCATTGCTTTCCAAACAAATCCCTTTGCAGGATGAATAACATCATAAGAATTGCATTCATTTTGTGTCCATCTTTTAGAGTTATGATAGATGTGAATTGTTTGGACAAGCACACAAGAACATTGAAAAACAAGCTTTACTTAGCCTGACAAAGAAGAGTTAGAAGTGACTTGAATAGGGTACTCAAAACTATAAAGGATATTGTAAGGAATGACAAGCTCTTCCTTTCTATTATGTTGCCACATGGTAGAAGGACACTGAATCATTCAGTGAAGTAAATGTGCAGTAAATTTAGAACAAATAAAATACAAAACAGGAATCTCATTTAATTCAGGATACAGTGACCCTCTGGTACTGTACTGACAAGACAGGTCTCAGAAGCAGAGACTGAGATAAGTGAGACTTCTACTGCTTCTCAGTGGGAGAGAGTCAAACTAAAGCAGGGTCTGGGAAGTGAAAATTTAGATTCCTGAACACAGAGGCTGGTTTCCCTTCACATCTTACTTGGGGACATAACATTCTGAATTAGAAGAGGGGCAGTATGAATGGCAGATCTTAAAAATAGGTCCTAACCAAAAGCCTCCTGCCACCTAAACAATGAGCATGTTATCCAGCAACTTTCACTATACTTTAAAAGGAAAGCCAAAGCAAAGCATGGGATGTGAATGATTCTTCAAGAAGATAGAAACATGATTTGAACACTTGCAGTTGATGGCTATCCAAAATTTATCATACAAGCTACTTTGCAAAAAGCAAGATGCACTATGCAGGGAAGCAATGGTTGAATTAATTTGATATATTGAACTAATGAGCATTGGCTATTGTGTTCCTTAAAAGGGATTTTAAAATAATTTACATCTTTTTACCAGGAAGGACTTATAACCAGTAAAATAATTTTGACATTTTAGGACTTAGAACACTAAGAAAACCAAGTAATATGTTCTTTACTACAGAATTGTTATTTAAAGCAGCCAACCATTGAACTCCTGGGAAGTCTTTCTAAATTAATTGAAGTAAATATTTAGAACATTGCCTGCAGCTAATATATTTCCCAACACCAATATTGATGTGTTTTCTGTTAAGAGACCCAATTTATTTTGAAAACTTCTGAACACTAAATTTGATTTTTAGAGAGATTGGTGTGTCTGACTGTTGGATAGTGCTTCTTCTTGCTTATTTCTGCCTAAAAATATGTCTAGTTCTAAGTGATGCATTTCTTTAGAGGATTTAATCTTTTCCCCATATTATTCCTAATATGGAAATTTAAAACCATCTAATGTCAATGGTACCCATCCATCCATTTCCTTATGGTCCTTGCTGCCAGGACTGCTTATGCATTTTATCCAATGATTCTTTAATGAAAAAAGCAAAACCTGCTGGAAGCAGGGACCAGAACCAAAGAACTCTCATAACTGGGCTAGAGACATAGTTTCACTTCTGTTGTCATGGATTTTCTATTCTTTTCTACACAGTAAACCAGCTTAAACAGCAAACCCAGAGGATGGCCCAGTCTCAACCTAGCATACAGTCTAATGGCTAGGACATTCTCCTGGGAGATGGGAGATTTGAGTGTGAACCCCTTCAGTCTGAGGTCACCTCAACCAGTGTTTTAAAAGAAAAGAGTGAGCCAGTCACTGTAGACAAAGGAATAATTGAGAAACAGATTTTTGACTGTGAATCTTAGTTTCTCACAGGTACCTAACTCAAGGTTGCAGGTATGTACCAAAGTCTGGGGCAGGATTTCAGGCACTCTTCTCTTTATCATTTCCAGCTAGGAACAGGTGCCAGAACTGCTGACTATCAATCTTGTGTTTTAACCATGAGACCAACTTCCCTCTCCCTGACAGATGTTATCTGTAGGTTTTACAGTTTTACAATTTTGCTATGACAATGACAATCTCTAGAGCCATAAGAGAGAAATAGTTGTGTTAGCCTAAAGTCAGGCAGAAAGAAGACCAGGGCAGATGTTTCACAGCATCTGACAAAGTAGGCTGTTGCCTATGAAAGATTATGCCATTCCAAACCAGTTGTTTTCTAAGGTGCAACCTTGCCCTGTCTTCATATTTCAAACAGAAACACAACGTTTAAGCCATTAGAACCTCTATAACACATGTTGCATTTGATGTGTATCATGAAAAAGTCAGATTCTGGTTTGTTTTGCCTTTGTTTTTTAAGAAAATGGGTAGATAAAACTAAACAAGAGACCAACTATCATCTAGTCCACTGCTGTCCAATTTCTAAATGGCTGGGGGCTGCACTAGCAGGGGCTGTACACCCTGGGGGCCACACTGGGACTTGCCAAGGGCTTCTTAAGTTAGACGCCATGTGGGTGGCCTGCGCTGTATGGCTGCCATATCCCCCAGCACTGCTGGCTAGACTGAGCTACACAGCATCTTGCACTCTGGGATGGGGACAGAAAGTGGAAACTGGAGGAGGGAGTGGGGAGCTTGGAGACCGCAGCTGCTGCTGCAGCCTGAGCAATAGGAGGAATGGTGGCCTAGTGGGAGACCACAGGCCACAGATTAACCTCTTGTGGGCCACATGTGGCTCATGGGCTGCCAGTTGGACAGATCTAGTCTAACATCCTGTATAGCACAGGCCATAGGAATTTGTTAGACTTGCAGCATATCTTTTAAAAAAACAGGCTTACAAAGTTCCACTAAATCACTAGATCTTTTGAGAAAAGAGACTGTCTCGGAGTTTTATACACTCTACAGAAGTGGAAGATGCTTGCTGCTTAAGAGAGAGATGATGTTGGAAGAATCCAAGCAATAGCATAATGCTATACAAAGTGTTTTGTTCATCAACCTGTTCCCTATGAACCCCAGCATTATTTTTTTACCTGATATTCAAGCATGGCAAATAGATGCGAGCGCAATACATTAAGTATCCCAACTCCAATATTCAACATATCCTCTACCATTCTAACGTAAGAGATGTACTATTCATTTTAGGGGGTGACTGCCACCCTGCCCGCATGAGGTATGGCCTTGCTCCCCCATGCAGCACCAGTGGTGCCTGCCCGGTCGCTTGCCTGGTGCATCATGCTGCCTCGCCTCCTCACCAGACTCTGACCTGGACTTCTGAACATTTGGCCAGGACCGGGCTATGGAATCCGAGAGTGTCCTGGCCAAACCAGGATGTATGGTCACCCTATGTAGATAGGATCCTATAGTAGTTAGCCGTGTTAGTCTGAAATCAGGCAATAGGTAGGGCAAGGTGGCACCTTACAGACTAACTGGTACAGAGAGGCATGAGCTTCCATTGGCAACAATCTATCTTATCAGATGTTATGCATTTACTACCAGAAAGAAAGGGTTTTATATATTGAAGGTAAAAGGATGGGGGCATGTGAGTGGGAGGGTGATGGGGATGCCAGGATGCTAAGAAAGCTAAAAAGTAGGTTGATTAGATCAATTGAGATGAACAAGGCAGTTAACGCTTTGTGGGGTACTGGAGTTAACAGCTAGTTCAGATATAAAGAATATGTAGTCCCTTTTGAGACCATGGTTAATACAATCAAGTCTGTGTATGATTTCTTCGTTCCCAGTTTCAAGTTCAAGTCTTGTTTTATTTATTTATTTAAGGACAGCTACTCTGGGGCCAGTGATGGAATAGTAAAGTGTTCTGCCATGGGCTTTTGTGCATTTCTGGCATTGATGTCGAAACAATGGTCATCCATTCTCTTATACAGGGATTGCCTCACCTGGCCTATGGTTGATGTTAGCAGGTTCTATTAGGCTATGGAATAAGATGGTTGCCTATGAAAGCTCATGCCTTTATGAACTAAGGTGCCACCATGCCTTACCTTTTGCCTATATAGGATTCTAGTGATAGAGCAAAAGAGTCCTGAATGCATTGAACTAGAACCTGAAACCATCACAATGATCTTTTCCCTGAACAGAAACAGATAGATCCACCAGAGGACCAGCACGTACAACCTAGAAGGTCACATCTTTTACAGGAATGAACTACTTTAAAAGTTAACCCATCTTACTGTGAGTCATGCATACAGAAGTGATTTAGAAATCATAGAAATCATAGAAACTAAGGGTTGGAAGGGGCCTTGAAAGATCATCGAGTCCAATCCCACCCCCTGCTCGGGGCAGGAATACTGCTGCGATCAAATGATCCCAGCAAGGTGCATGTCCAGTTTCCTCTTGAAGACTTCCAGGGTTGGGGACTGCACCACTTCCTTTTGAAGTCTATTCCAGATTATGGTCACCCTTACCATAAGGAAGTTTTTTTTTACATCCAACCGGAAACCATCCTCTAAATTTATGGCCACTGTTGCTTGTCCTCACCAGGGGCACCCTAGTGAACAGTTTCTCTCAGCTCCTGACATTCACACCTTACATACTTATAGACAGTCACTAAGTCCCCCCTCAGTCTTCTCTTCCCCAGGCTGAA